ATAGATCTATTTCTCAGTTGGGTATGATAAAGACAAGTTATTATTTTTAGTAAAACAGTCAACAAAATAGAGGTTTCGCTACTTATCGCCTATTGAAGTCTCCGTCTAGTATCTGGGTGATAAATCATTTATTTATGCAACCAACTAGGCAAATTGGTGTTTAGATATCTACTCACCTATAAAAAGGATATTTTGTTGTAGATATGTTTGTACAAATAAAGCAATTGGCTGTTAAGTGAAGAGTTTAAAAATGCAGCCGAGGAGGACATTTTTTGAGCCGAGAATAATTTTTATTCAAAAAATAGCTATAGTCCAGTATCATTTCTTATAAACTCTGTATTTGTAAAGATCATATGGATTATTTTGATATATGAGTACCTGAAGTCTCTTCGGTTGCAGAAATCCCAAGCAGATGGTTGGCATAATACAATCCTGTCAATAGGTTCCTCAAGAACAGAACCTTGCCAAAATTCCAGTGGAAGTGCACTCATATTTATAGAAACAAAAAAGTCCTCTGCTAGCCTGAACAGGTCTGCTGGTGTATAACCCTACAAAAATATGATTTATGCTGAAGCGCTCTATCATCTCATTCAGACTGATTCTCATACTATGTAGCCAACAAAGTCAGACAAGGTAGAAGGAGCTAGTCAAGCATTCGTTTATCTCCTAACTCTCTCAGGCTGAAGTGAGGATCAAAATGTATTTGACTTAGGTCAATGTCGTTGAATTCGTATATTCAGTGTTATTTTTAAAAGTGCAAGTGTTTGTAGATACTTGTGGTGCTACTCGATTTCAACACATGGTAGGTACTTCTTACATAATTTGCAAAGCGCAGCACAAGCCTAATGAAGGTTGATGTTTCTACCGGTAAGCATTACTGTTGTGTTGCTAAACGCTGTCATTTTGACAGACATTGGTAGAAAATGGAGTAAAAAATATGCATTAAGGCCCGTATCGTCAGTTGTCCCTACAATTGTAGGGCGCCTTTATGGCCTCCTTGATTGTCATAGTTTTCTACTTCTCCGTGTCAGCGCTCTATTTTGAGGTTATGTCACAAATATCAATTTGCATCACATTGTGCTTGGTTTTGAGTTATATCATGTTTTATCTTCCTGAAATTTCCTACAATTTAAAAGGAAAACAAATCTTCACAATAGGAGAGCGCTGACGCTGACACGGGACAAATGTAATCTAGAAATTTTTGAAGGAGAGAAAGGAGTATGACAATCAAGGAGGCCATAAACGCGCCCTACAATTGTAGGGTCAACTGAGATACGGTCCTAAAACTACCCAATGTTGTTGATAAAAAATGCAAACATATAGACTTGGTTCCTTCTAATCTATTCGAATTCGTTGGTTGGAGCATAAATATTCATAACGTTAGTATAAGTAAAAACTAATTACTGTGAAATTGCCTATCTTGTTAAAATTGAGAATCCATACCTGCTTTAACATTTCTGGTGTTACATCTAAGAAAGTTTGACCAGGGTAAGGCTGGGTAATATCGAATATGTTGGTCCACGATTGAGCCCACATATTTCCTAGTATATGCGCAGGTAGAGGTGCCTGTCTACTTATCCTAAAAAATAGTAGATATCGTTAATATTATTAGTAAAATCACAGAAGTTATTTTAAGCATATTATATGGCATAATGAAATTGTAAATATAATTTATAAAAAGCGTCAGTAATGAAAATTGGTATTTGGGCAAGGTTGTCGTCTTTTCTAGATTTACCTTTCAGGTCCATAAAACTCCCTGAGCCTTCGTCGGACGTAAGTAAGGAGTTGGTCATAAAACGGCTTAACTTCGTCCCATGCATTTTCCAGGTCTTTGAAAAGATCTGTAGACTCAAAAGGAAAGCTCCAGTATTCAGCGGTATCAGTAAAATCTGAAAAAAGGGAAAGATGCTGAAAACTTACCAAAAAAGTAATGGCTTGTCGCTTTAAATCGGCAAAGTGCTAGTTTCGATTGGCACTCGATGAACGTGGACTATGCATTTTACTTTTAAATTAGAATTTCGAACTTATGATTCTGTTTTGATACTAAGCTAATCGTATAATCTCCCACGTAGAGCTCTAGAAGCTAATTTGCTAATATACAGGGTGTTCCTTAGTGATATGCGAATATTTAAGGGTGTGAACCTACCTGAAAAAATTAATTAACTATGATCATAAATGTTTCCTTACAAAACTCGGGGGTGTTGAAGTTTTAGGAAAAAATGGAAATTAATTAATATTTTCAGAACCGCTTCAGATATTTCACTGATATTAGTACGTAAGTGAAAGTCAATAAGTTGCATATTTTTCAATGCAATAATGATTTTAGCCTTAACAGTGGCGTGCGTATTGGGTATTGACTTCGGCATTTTTTAAGAAAAAAATGGTACGGACCAATGGTTTTTTGTCAATAAAAATTATTTGTGAATTCCCCGTTCAATTTTAAACAAATGATCTATCCTGAATTGTTTTCCTTCGATGCGCCATTTTTGAGTAAAAAAATAAAACCGTTCTATTGTCTAACTTGCCAAAATTATTATTAACTTAATTGGAAAATTAAACACATTAGGGGTACTGAGCAACAACAACTAACGACATAAACATAACATTGAAACCAAGGAATGATTACAAAAATTGTTTGAAAATTGCCCCCTCCTTCCCATGGAATTGCGCACATCGTTGAAATATCCCTGGGGTGTTTTTTATTCTATCACAAGCTGCAACTATTCTTTCTCTTAACTCCTCTACAGTGTTAATGGGACTTGTGTACACTAGTGTCTTAAGATAGCCCCACAAAAAGAAATCTAAACTGTTGAGGTGGCCATTCTTGGGGCCCACCGCGGCCAATCCAACGATTTGGATAAACAGTTTGTAAATAATTACGAACCGCTACACTGAAATGCGCTGGTGTACCATCATGCATGTACCACATATTATTTCTTATTAATAACGGAATATCATCAAGCAGCAAAGGCAACTGTTGTTGAAGAAAATTGAGGTCAGTATGTCCGTCAAGTCGTCCCGGCAAAAAGAATGAGCCAATAAAGTGGTTGCCAATAATTCCTGTCCATACGTTAACCGAAAATTGGTGATGGAAATGGGCTTCGGTTACGGCATAGGGATGTATGGAAATTATTGTGGAAATTCTGAATGGCATTTCGAGAAAAATTAGCTTCGTGCGTGAACAGAATCATTGATTCAAATTGTGGATCTTGTGTAATTTTAGATACCAATGACAAAAGGTCACACGCCTAGGAAAATCAATGGGAAGTAATGCCTGTACTCTTAAAATATGGTAAGGATATAACAAAAACCCACTAAAACTCTCCAAACAATTTGATGGCAAATATTTAAGTATCTAGCGATCTTCCTCGTACTCATTTCAGGATGTTCTTCGACTTAGTGCAGCACTGCTTCCTCAATTTCAGGTATTCTCACACTTAGAGGTTTACCTTCAGATGTCCCTTTTCAGACAGAACCAGTTTCAACAAGACGACGATGAATGTTAGAAAAGGTTTCGACTATCTGGCAAAGCACGATCGGGATATCTCTGATGATAAATCCGTCTGGCTTGCTCACCATTACCATCAGCAAGGCCATATACGTAATGCTTTTCCGCCTTTTCTGCATTTGAATAATTCACCATTCTTAACAAGATTGTAAAAACTAAATGATGAAAAATATGTCACAGCGAACAGAGACTTGTCAGATGTCAAATGCAAGTGACATATTCCAGAGCAACTAGATATTTATTGCTAAATAGCATTATTCAATTATTTCATTAATTTTCTCGGACAATAGAACGGTTTTTATTTTTTTACTCAAAAATGGCGCATCAAAGGAAAGCAACTCAAAAGAGATAATTTGTTTTTAATTGAACGGAGAATTTAAAAATAATTTTTATTTGGCAAAAAATCATTGGCGTACCATTTTTTCTTAAAAAACATCGAAGTCAATACTGTACACACGCCACTGTTACAGCTAAAAATTATTTTTGCATTGAAAAATATGCAACTTTATTAACTTCCACTACGTACTAAATATCAGTGCAATATCTGACGCGGTTCTGAAAACATTAATGAATTTCCGTTTTTTTCCAAAAACTTCAACACCCCGAGTTTTTGTAAGGAAACATTTTTGATTTTTGGACCATAGTATATAGAGCAGACTAACATTAATTTTTCATGTAGATTCACACCCTTAAATATTTGCATATCATTGAGGAATACCTTGTATAACTTATAGGCTTTACGATTAACTTGTTTTCATAAAAGTAAGAAACAGTATTTATATGGGCGAATTTGCTTTTTAATAGTAGTATCAAGAGATACACCAAAAACTTAAAATATAGTAATCTGTCATGGTAAGATAGTAGTAGTAGTAGTAGTAGTAGTAAATTTTCGATAAATTTATTCTCAATCTTTGATAGATGTCAAGTTTTGAGAACTTAGAGAATCAATGATATGAGAAAAAATAGATGTTAAGTCAAGATCTGATGTCTCTAGATACTCGAAGATTGAGAGAAAAGATGTAAGTTGAAGTTGTACTTTGAAATAGATGGATGTTCCACATTCAGCTACTTATTAGTAGTGAAAAAATATATTTGGTGTTTCAATATTCGACTATTACCAGTGGGGTCTCAGAAACGGTAAGAAATACGAAATATGCAATGTTGCGTATTTAGCCAAGTACCGCTTAGAAAGTTTCATAAAATCGTTTTAGTTTTTTCTCACTCTATTTGAGATGCGGCTTTGAAATATATTGCATGTTGTCACTGCCTCTTTTTCTCCTCTACTAAATGGCGTGTTAAAATTTTCGATTCGAAGTTTTTCATATGGACGCTATATTGGAATTCTATACAGTTAAATACTACTAAATACATCATCTTAATCTAACATGTGAAGTTTATTGTGACATAAATAAATGTATTATATTCTAAATTAAATGCTGAAAGCGTGTTCTATTGTGCAAATTCCAAAGGGGAGAACGCAGGAAGGTCTAATTAAGAATTTGACTTCGCCCTGTTGTAGAGGAGAAAGAGTGGCGATGTTAATATGCAATTCATTTTAAATTTCAGTTTAAATAAGCCAACGATTTTTCAATGAATCCAATATACTAAACAAAGGCCAATCTGATAATTCCAAGACATACCTAGGAAATTCTATATTTTGAAATAACTAAGGTTTGGCGATGTGCATATTGTATATTTTTGGAATCAGAACTAAAAACTCCATTCATCTTTGCTAAAAACCAATATGGCGTCCTTTAGAAAAAATAAAGATGATACTGGAACACAAGAGACGAAATGTTCCATTGAAATTCTAATTATACCTACCATCTTATAGTGTGTAATTCATTTTGAGATCCCACTACAAATAAAGCCAGGACAAAATCAAAACGATTTTGGGAAAATTCGTTCTTTTCCGTCTCCGTCTCCAGAAGTACTATTTCGTAGGTTTGTGAGTTACCTAGACACGCATCTTTGCCTCCCGGCACAAAAACAATGAACTTTATTGGATTACCTCTATTATTTATCGAAGAAAAAAAGCTCTGCTCTAAATAAATCACCCATTACAACTGAAACCTACTATTCAACTTCGAAGCCTGATTGCTTAGCCGAACCATCTGCTCGAAGGGATCCCTCATCTTCTGTCCAGTTTGGCGTCGCCATTCGGTCCATACATGCTGCAGCTCGTCCCAGTTCCTGCTCTTGGCCATAATGGCCGTGAGGTCAGGCTGCAACCGAAGGTCGCACCTCAGAGGCTCGAGATAGGCGCATACGGAGGCGCTGTTGTAGATCGCGAGCATGTCGTTGATCAGGCGGTTGTACTGAAAAAAAAACATGATATTTCGAGCAACAACAAAATTCTCTGAACTACGCCCTTTGTGATCGGAAATTATCAACGGCTTTTTCAGAATTTCGTCCTCCCTCACTTTTTTATTTATTGCGGATTAATCCGCCATCATTAAATCGGATTTAAAAAGGTATCATCATGAGGGTAACCCAAGAGTACGGTTTAGGACCGTATCGTCAGTCGTTTCCTAAAATTGTAGGACACCTTTATGGTCTGCTTGATTTTGATAGTCTTTTCTCTCCTTCAGAAAGGCAGGGGTATTTCTAGATTCCTACTGTTCCTTGTCAGCGTCAGCGTTTTCCTATTATGAAAATTACTCTTATGTTTTCTTTTTGAATTGTAGGAAATTTCAGACAGATGATATAAATCAAAATCATGAACAATCTAATGGAAATAGGTATTTGTAACATAACCTCAAAATAGAGCGCTGACACGGAACAGTAGATAGCTATGAAAATCAAGGCGGCCATAAACGCGGCCTACAGTTGTACCAACGACTGACCATACGGCCCTTAAAGTACAAACATAAAGCCATTTCTCTACAACTATAGCCATTCCGGTCAAGACATGTTTGTATATCATGTTGCAGTTTTTGTGTGCCCATGTTACACCAGCTCACCGCCAGGTTATTTAAAAAACATTGACATGGGCGCCCGCAAGAGACGGCTTAGAATCCAGTTAGACCTTGAAATTTGCATATTTAGCATGCTTTTGTGTACAGTTTTGGAGACCTTTAACACTGAACTTCAATCTTTCACGTCGTCGTCAAAACAGAATCGTCTGGTTAAAAGCTCCGTCAACTCAGGATGGTAGTCACTGAATGCAAAGTCCGGACGATAAGGTGGCGATCATACAGACCGACGAGACTTTTAACTAAGAGCAAAGCTCCACCGGACCGCTCTGACGAATAATGACGAATAGTAGTAGGCGATCAGTCATTCAAGTTGTTACGGTTACCGTTTGAAAAGCGACGTCTGGTGAGAATGCTTACGCTATTGCCCAAAATTCCTCTTCCTTGGTTCTGAGTTGCAAGTCTGAGTTTTTTTGTCAGTGTTTCACAGTACCTACTACCATATGTTCTCTAGGTCGAAAAAGCACATTTGTTATGTAATTCGGTTTTCGGGAACATCAGTCAACGTTTCAGACATTAGGCACGGTGGTGGAAGACATAACCATGGCCTTGAGAGGGGCAAACCGGTGGGTCTCACTCATGTTCCACTGACGCGAATGCGTCGACTGCCTGTTCTTCAATAACCGAAATTATCCACGTCGGAATAGAGGGATACATTGCTCACACAGTGAAAGTGCCTAAATCACGGTCCAACGGCTGGTTTAACAAATTGTGTGACACTGCTCGCCAGCAGAAGATCAAGGCACACAGAATCTTGTTACAAAACCCCACTGTAGAGAACAGACAAACCGACGTCAAGTCCAGAAACAAATATAACGAAGCGGTTCGCAATGCCAAAAACCAGCACGATACAAAAGTTAGGCACACCAGTTACTTCCGATTCACAGGCCAAGGCCGAAGTGCTTGCCAAGATCTTTGATGCCAACTCCACCATGAACGTCTCCCTTACCAACGCCCAAGTCCCGTCAATTCAAAGGGGTCTCTACACTATGCGAGAGGTATCATTCAGGCATAAGACCGTAAGACGAGTGCTCTTGTCGCTCGACATCAACAAAGCTTCTGGTCTGGACTTGATACCTGCCATTGTACTGAAGATGTGTGCAGCGGAGCTTGCTCCAGTTCTTTCGCGTCTCTTCCAGATATCTTATGAATCCGGCAGTCTTATGGTGAGGCTAATGTCGTTGCTCTTGATATGACGAAAGCGTTCGATCAGCTGTGGCACGCTGCCCTTTTAAGCAAACTTCCATCCTATGGCCTCCCAGAAAAGCTTTGCGGATCGGTCTTGGCTCCGACACTGTCCCTCTTACATATCAACGACCTCCTTTCTTGCACGATCAACCCAATCCACAGCTTCGCTGATGACAGCACTCTACATGCATGAATTCAGGGTAACAAGCCAATCTCTGCCGCTGAGCTGGAAAAAAAAGACTAGCTACGACTTCCTCTCTGACGAGAGACCTGGAGGTTACCACCGTTTGGGGACGCAACAACCTTGTACAGTTTAATGCTTCCAAAACACAATACTGTACTTTGACGAACAAAAAGCATAATATCGCTCATCCGGTTTCAATAGATGGCCGAGTTCTGCCAAAGAGTCATTTATTTCGCCTGGTCGGAGTCCAGATCACCGAGGACCTGTCTGGAACGAACACATCTCGTCAATAGCGGCAGCTGCTGGGAAAAAGCTAGGCTATTTGTTTAGGGCTAAGAAGTACCTTTCTCCGCATGACCTTCTCACTCTATACAAGGCCCAGATAAGGCTTAGCCTCGAGTATTGCTCACACGTTTGGGGTGCTGCCGCCCCGACTACATTATTTATTCCGGATGCTGTCCAGAGAAGGGCGGTCCGACTGATCGATGACTCTTCTCTAACAGTCAGTCTCGGGACCCTTTCGCACCGGCGGGCCGTCGACGATCTAGCTCTTTTATATCGCTACACCAACAGGCTTTGCTTCCAAGAGCTCTCTTCCATGATGCCGCCGCGCGATGTACTGCCAGACAGACCCGCCTGTCTTTATCCTCCCATCTTAACCGTGTCGAACTTCGTACATCCAGAACTGGCCGATACTACCGCTCCTTTGTCCCGAGGGTGTCGATATTGCGGAACAATCTACAAGAGAAAGCTTTTCCCAGTTCTACTAACATTAAGCAGTTCAAAAATTGTATGAACAAAATTTCTTTGGGAAAATCATAGCACCCGCGGTGTCTCGGCATTTAGGCTGCTTTAGTATAAAAAAAATTAGCAACACAATATGTGTTTCTGAACTAGAATAAACATACCGGAGATTAAAATCAAACGTTTATAATCATCTAAAATTAAGTTGGAGCAAAATACAAGAAATAATGTTTTCGGAACACATAATCAAAACCATTCAGTAAAAAGAGTGAAAATAGTATGCATAACCATAGACAGACGGCTAAATTGACAGACACATGTGATGTCCTTGAAATGCAAATTGTTTTCGATGTGCAAGGTGTTTTAGAAAGGCGTGGCAATATTTCTAGGGTAGAAATTACACCCAAAAATAACAAAAAGGTTCCTATACATATGGGTCAAAAGATGCTCCCCGACCGAGTTTCGATGTGATGAAGTTTAATTTACGAAATTAAAAAAAGTATATCTACGGAGCGGTTAAATATACTGTTAGTATTTTAGACGTGCAGTGGGCACATCACCAGCGATAAAGACAGAGTTTTATGACCCAAACTGAACCAGAGACGTAGAAGCTGGGGTACATGGATCCTTAGTAAGAAATATTTTCTACACACCTGAGCTTTTTGGAGAAAAAGCAGTGCTCTTCATAAAATACCATTTAATTTTCCATAAATTTTCTCCCTTGAGGAATTTTTGTCAGATCACTCGTTTTGGAGATATTTGGGTATGAACATTTGAGGTGGATCCTAAAATATTTTCATGAAAAGGTTTAGCCTCCCCTATTCTGAAAACACCGAGAATCATTATGGCTATGGCCTCTCATAACAGCATTAATTGGGTAATATGCGAGTCTTATCCTCGATCAGAAGCGTAAAAGCTTACCATTTATTAAATCTTGTCTATGCATGGCACTGGTTTTTATGGTATACTTCTGGTTATACCCATGTTAAATTCTTCTGGTTGTCTATAATCACAACTAGTAATTGTGGAACCAGTCAATTAAAAAATCTTATCATTTTACTTCTGAAACTTTCGGCCCTTTCTTCTCAAAATTCTTTTGCATTTAGGATTAAGTGAGCTCAACAAAGAAGATATCAAAAATCGTTAGCAACTCCGAACATGAGGTCGAAGTGTATATCTTTCTTACAACAGCTAGCCTAGCTTAGCTTAGTTGCATAACTTCTTAGTTTCCAATTCACTTACCCTGTCCAACTGATCAGGCGGTAACGCAGCAGGTCCCACAACTGAGTAATAACGAATCTGCCTATAGGTTTGTGGATCAACCCTGTTCAAATCGCCAACGCTGTTCAGGAGGTTCCAAAGCTCATGTTGAAACTCCGAATAAAGCTGCTGTGCTTGTATCTGAAACATTATAAAGGTAACTCTTGATACGAGGGATGTCTTTTCAGTTTTGCATATAGAAACATAGTAGGCCGCTCGGATCGAGCGTCAGTAGTGAATCTTAACCTCACTCTTTAGTAAACTTAAATTCAAAGTTCCACAACAATACGTGCAGTGTTCTCACTACAGCGAATTTTTAAGTGTCACCAAGTCATTAGAAAAATGGAACCCAACCGAGAACATTTTCGCGCCATAATTTATTACAACTTTCAGAGACAATTATCGCAACAAGAATGCCTTGCTGAGTTACTGTCTGTTATCGGTAATGAAGCGCCACATCAGTCGACAATTTCCCGTTGGTATGAAGAATTGAAACGTGGACGGGTGGGTCTTAGCGACGATCCCAGGGTGCGTGCACCAAAAACGGCAGTCACCCAGGAAAACGTCGATGCTGTGCGTAAACTCATCATTGAATATAGACATGTAACATATCGCGAGATTGAGGCGTCCTTGAAGATCTCAAAGACCTCAATTCAAAAATTATACATGTAGAATTAGGAGTAAGAAAATTAGTTTCTCGTTGGATACCCCACCTGTTGACTGAAGAGCAGAAAGCAGCCAGGGTTAATTGGTGTCAAAAAACGCTTGACCGTTTCAATTCCGGAAACTCAAAAAATGTGTACAGCATTGTTAGTGGTGATGAATCATGGATTTACTGTTATGAACCAGGAAATAAACGACAGTCGGCTGTTTGGGTGTTCCAAGGTGAAGAAAAGCCAACAAAAGTCATCCGTTCTCGAAGTGTTTCGAAAAAGATGGTCGCGACATTTGTGTCAGAAGCGGCTCATATTACAACAATTCCTCTTAATGAGCAAAGAACTGTTACTGCGAATTGGTATACCACCATTTGTTTGCCAAAAGTCATCATCGAACTTCGAAAAATCAACCCGGAAAGAAGAATCATCCTCCACCAAGACAATGCAAGCTCGCACACAGCCCAAAAAACAATGCAGTATTTAACGGAAGAAAACGTGGAATTATTGGACCATCGTCCATATAGTCCCGATCTAAGTCCTAACGATTTCTTTACTTTCCCGAAAATTAAAAACAGACTGCGTGGTGAAGGTTCCAGTCACCAGAAGAAGCAGTTGACTCATTCAAAAATGCCGTTTTAGTTCTGCCAGCAAACGAGTGGAATAAGTGCATCGAAAATTGGTTCGAGCGCATGCAGATGTATATTAATCTCCGTGGAGAATACTTCGAAAAACAATAAAGTCATTTAAAACTACCTACCGTGTTATTTTATTTCCATATGCAAAACTTAAAATACATCCCTCGTAAAAAGGTATACGTATATACCACAGACAGTAGCATATTTTCCATTTCATTTCAAAGCAAAATCAACATTTTGCCTCCAAATAGTATGTGTATGTTTCTACTTTTTCTACGAAGCACTATTTAAAAAACCTCAGTTTCTCTTCCTACGCCTAATGGCGCTGAAGTATTGTAATCGCGCAAAAAATCGAATGTATATTGCGAGAGAACATGTAACTCATTTCCGTCCGACTGTCTGTCGCTATATCCGCTAATCTTATGACCGTCCTATATCTTGACAAATACCGTTCGGACTTCAAAGAAACTTTTACACAATGTTACTACTATGCCAAAGAAACAAAATCTCTGAAGTTTTTGAAAATAGTTCAGTGGTGGCAGAGAAAAAGAACAAAACGAAGAAGGGTAAAAGTCGCTCAAACTTCATCTTTTGACATTTCAATTGATCCAGATAGGCTTTGAAAAATACTTTAATAATAAAAAACTTGAGGGTGGGAATGGTAACGGGTTGAGGAGGGTTTATCTCATTTTTTATGTCAGCATATTTATTCGCTCGCAACCTTGGTAATTCTACGCACCTATTTGACATTCACACATCATAGATTTCTCCGTAGATTAACCCTTAAAACCTAGAAGAATACTCTCAGCTGACGGATCGAGTGCCTGTCGGCCGCAGCTGTTGCTCCCGGCCGCGTACCGCCCGCCGGCCTTGATGAGTGTCCCGTCTTTTTACTATGGTATTACACATATTTTTGCCACACCATACCATAGTGTTTTCTATGCTCTGACAGCGCTGCCACGTCAGACCGTGAGAGAGGCGCCGTGTCCAGATGTAGAGCAGGTAAAGGATGTCTATGAACTAATTGTATGGTCCTGTTTGACTGACGACTTTTTTCCGAGGGTCTAGATTGTGCTGAACATAATCCTGTGTCAACTGATAACGCCGTTGCGTGGGAAGTACAGAATCAACCTACATGACGCTATTTTTTTCCCTAAGCGAAAGCAATGGCAAGGCGGATGGTTCTTAACATCGGTTGTAACCAAATTTTTACAGGAGACTTTAACGATAAGTCAGCAAAGAAACTCAGATGCACCACTAAGGCCAGTATCGTCAGTCGTCCCTACAATTGTAGGGCGCGTTTATGACCTCCTTGATTGTCATACTCCTTTCTCTCCTTCAAAATTTCTAGATTACACTTGTCCCGTGTCAGCGTCAGCGCTCTCCTATTGTGAAGATATGTTTTTCTTTTTAAATTCTAGGAAATTTCAGGCTGACAAAACATGATATAACTCAAACCTCTCAAAATAGTCACAATTTGATGCAAATAGATGTTTGGGACATAACCTCAAAATAGAGCGGTGACACGGAGAAGTAGAAAACTATGACAATCAAGGAGGCCATGAAGGTGCCCTACAATTGTAGGGACACTGACGATACGGGCCTTAGGGTCATATGGTCAGTCGTACCTACAATCGTAGGACGCCTTCATGGCCTCCTTCAGAGAGGCTGGGACATTTCTAGATTTCTACCGTTCTGTGTCAGCGCCAGCGCTCGCCTATTGTCAGGCTAGGTATTCTTCTTAAATTGTAGAAAATGTCAGGCTATAGAACAGATGATATAAATCAAAATCAGGTACAATTTAATGCAAATAGATATTTGTAACATAACCTCAAAATAGAGCGCTGACACGGAAGACTAGAAAACTATGAAAATCAAGGAGGCCATAAGGCGTCCTGACGACTGACGATACGGCCCTAAAGACGAGGTTTAAAGTTTGAAAATGTTTGACATCTGTAGAACACTAAAAACTCAATTCAAGTCAATTAGCAACGTTTCAAGTACTTTTTGTCAAATAGTTTAGAACATATCAAGCAATTGACCTGATGAATCCTGACTATGCGTGCACGTTTAGAATCCCACACGCAGTACTATATTGCTCGCTCCTCTTCCCATCATCATATAACACTGATATTGTTGGGTTAAGATTAGCACAACCTACCTAGGTATGTGTTTCGTTAGTAATTTGATAGAGATAGAACGAAACAAAATAATAGCGATTGCCTATATCGCCTGGCAATATTTGGCTGCACCCATTGTGCATCATCTTTATGAGTCAACTTATCGTTACTCATAAACGACACCTGTTATTATGATGCAGATATGGTTAATTTAATCTGGAAATAAGTTGATTAATTATTTTAAAATCAGTCATTAGTCATCCATCAAATTACGCTCATCAAAAATGCAGCTTGCGTATGAAACCTTAACATCTCATTATTCAAATTAAGCACTAATTACGACTTACAGTTCGCCAAAAGCAGATGTCCTTGTTTTCAAGGGTCCTCTTTCAAGAACCAGCGACTGATATGACTTTCAAGCTTATGAAGCCTCTAAAAATGTTCATATCAAGAGAACTAGGTTTTAAAATATCTGAGCATGAAAGAAAAAAATACGTTACTTTTGATCCTCATATCAAAAATATACAGGGTAAGAATAGTTGAGGTCGCTCTGGAAAAGGCTCGTATGAAGTACCTGGACTTTCTGACCAAACTTTAGGAGCTACTCTTTGGTGCAATGTCTTAAAAAAAAGCGTATACGTAATGTCCGAATGTTTACAGATACACCTTGTGAAAGGATTTATATGTATAGGTTTAGGGTGTGGATGATTGTTGTTGAGTGTATAATGCGATCAGTGTACAAAAATGATCAAAACTAGGAGTTGTTAGTTCTGAAATAGATAGTAGACCTCCTATTCTAGGGTTATGAACCCGCGCATAAGGCGCTTCCAAACTATTTTACCACAAAACCATTTAGAAAATAATGCAACGTAGCACAAATCCGCCTTCTTGAAATGTCTCCAACTCCTATTACGAATGCACAATTTATAGCTCCAAATTTTAGCTTGCCAGCTTAACCCGTTCAAAAAATAGTAGAGAGAAACTTCTGAAAAGCACTGTAGACTTTTAATTATTTATCAACATTTCACGTGCGTATACCGCGTGTTTTCAAGTTCGACTGTCACCATTTTGATCTTCGGAGCTAAGCCAAAGGACAAAATATCAAAATGGTTTTTCTGGGTTATTTGAGATGGGATTTCACAATGAAAAATGTTCTCCTCTACAAGGTTTGGAAACTTCAGTATGACGTTTCGTCTCTGTCTTCAAACCATCAACTTTATTTTTCTTATCACCGCCAGTTTATAATATATAATTATAATAATGTTTAGTAGGTCATACGTTGATGTTGCAAACCTGAGTTATTAAAAAAAACAGATGCTCCTAAGAAGGCCTTGAAACTATCAGAAAGTCAGTTTCACAATATTAGCTACGCATTCTTTCAGTTTTTATGCATAGGTGATATGCATATCATGACATCTGCGGTAATATAAGACTCCAAATATAGTTGGTCTTATCGAATAAAGAACAACGTAATGCTCAAGCTTTTTTATTTCATGTTAGAGTCGTACTGGAAACATTGAAAACAGTTTTACTTTAAGTAAGCGTGTTGCAGCATCCTGAACACATTTCATAGCTCTCATATCTAAACCTATGCACACATCTTGCATTCAAGTACTATTAATCTATAGCTTAGGTGTTATGAGGAGCGCCTCTATTATGCTTGTTATTTTCGGTAAATAGGCATATTATCTGAACGTCTTGAATCTTTTCAATTTCGTTTATACAGGGTTATCCAAATTAAGTGTCCACCATTAGTAACTTTGTTATTAGTGAAAATACAAAGTTATTTTCACTAATAACAAAGTTACTAATGGTGGACACTTAATTTGGATAACCCTGTATAGGTTTAGTAAGACGAGCTGCAACGGGCATTATGGAAAATATCATAAGGTACCCGGGGGTAATAAGGCCCACCAGATATTAAGGCCCAACGCTGGTTTGCCCAAAGGAAAGTGCCTAAAATATTTATATCGCCATCTGTTAATAATATTTAGTATTACTGTTGCCGGAAATGTAATTTTGTTCTATGGTTATGAGCTTCCTGGCTTGTTCTATGGTGTCACGTTTCGCTGTGCTGTATTTTATAAGAATTTCGACCGGTAAGTAAGCAAATTAAATTGTTTTAATAATACGTAGATTTTACATTATGTATGCATGATAATTTATGTATCTGATAGTTTCATTTTACGTAGCGTTTCTTTTTATGTTGGGTTTGTTTGTTGTTTAATAACCTACAAAATTAATTTTATTGTGCTACAGGTTATAAGGCCCGGGCCTTATTTTCTACAATGCATTGAAAAAGGCTTGGGCTTTATTTTCTGCTGCCATGAATACACGTATTCATTAGATTTATTTATTCTTTTACAGAAGATGGGTAAAAAAAGCAGAGGGATAAGGGCAAATTGGGACGAAGAGATGATGAGAGAGGCATTAATTATATTAACGAGGGAAAATCTCAGCGCTGGGTGGAAAAAAAATGCGGAATACCCAGACGAACACTTAGGAACCACATTAAATCACAAAGCGTGAAGAGAAAACTAGGTAGACAAACAATTTTGACCGATAATGAAGAGACTGACCTTGACAATAAAATAATTCGGCTAGCCGATAAAGGTTTTCCGCTAACACCAAAAGCATTAAGAAGGTCTGTGTTCAGGTATGTTGAGCAAAAGAAAATTAAGCATTGTTTCAATCAGGAAACTCGTCTCGCTGGTAGGGAGTGGGTAAGGACTTTTCTGAAAAATCATCCGGGAATATCAAAACGTCGATCTCAATTCATGAATCCAGCAAGAGCCCAAAAATTAAATCGTTTTATCGTAGAAGATCATTTAAAAAAACTAGGAGATTTGTTGGAGCGCACTCAGTTAAAAATAAAGAAGCAAAAATTTATAATATGGACGAGAAGGGTTGCTGCTTGACTCTTCACCACCAACAAAACGTTCTGGCAGCCAAAGGAGCGAAACGAGTGCATGTAATTTCTCATGAACACGCCGAAACGCAACTATCGTCGCTTGCGCTAATGCTCTCGGACATGCCATACCGCCTGTCATTCTTTTTAAGGGCAAGAGAATGAAGCCAACCTACTCAGATGGCTTACCGGCTGGCTCAAAAGTTATGATGACGCCTAAAGGGAGCATGACGATATAAACGTTTGATAAGTGGTTAGACCATTTCATTGAATACATGTCGCCTCCGCCAGTAATTTTAATTTTTGATGGGGCCAAATGCCATTTGGATATTAGCATTGCTGAGAAAGCAGAAGCTCATGAGATTCACTTATATTGTCTGCCGAGTAACACCACCCATGAGCTTCAGCCGATGGACAAAGCTATATTTCGAGCATTTGAAGCTTATTGGGACGATGAATTGTAAAAGTACTGGGATAAACATCCTACACGTGATTTAAACAGGGAAAGATTTCTGAAGTTTTCACACCTACATGGTAGAAAGCAATGTCCATTGGAAATATTACAAGCGGCTTTCGAGCTACGGGAATATGCCCTTATGATAAGGATGTTCTTCCCATTGAAGCATTTGCCCCAAGTCTTGCAACTGAGAAACCTTACCAGGAGACGACCGCCGCTGCCGATGATTCGGAATATGATTCAGATGACTACCTGCCTTTAGGTGAATTGCGTAAAAAATTAATCCCTTTGAATAATTCCTTCGTGGAAGTGTTACCAATACCAGATCTAGTCAAAAAAAAATCTGCTCCAAGCCGTAAAGCTATAAATTACAAAGCAGTTGAAGTCAAGCGATCCGTATTTTTAAAGGAGGTGGAGTCTCAACTTGATCCCGTTCCAGTCTTATCGAATACCGCTAAATCGCCATCTGAATCTGTGTCTTCCATTGCATCAAAAACAAAAGAACATAACGAAGAATGGCACTGTGTGATTTGCTACGAAGACTATGTAGCAGATATGAGACGATGTGCTTCTTGTGGTTTTTGGGTCCATGAGGATTGTGCTGGTTTGACTGCGGACGATACTGAAATTTTTTTGTGTCCAGACTGTATGCCTTATGTATTAGATTTATACTTAATACCATATTTATCTTTGATACTGTTTTTTTTAGTGTGTTACATTTATTTTTTATTCTATCAGTATTTTGTTATTAAGGCCCAAAGGGATATTTTTGATATTTATGTTTGGATATCATTATTTTAATATTTTCTTTTTATTTTTTGATTTTTTTGTGTTTTGTTTATTCGTTTGACTTGTTTTTTGTTCATTTAAATATGGGCCTTATTATATGCACTTGCAGGCTTTAAGGCCAGAAGACCAATTTTTTTAATGTTCGCGTCTCGACATATAAGGATGATTATTTTGTGTTCAACATTACCATTATGTTAGTTATAACCCTTTTCTATTTTTATAATAATAAAAGTTTGAAAAAGTAAATTCTCTCGTAGATATTAATTATAATTTCTTAGGTCGGGCCTTATTACCCCCGGGTACCTTACATTTAAAGCCCCTGTGTAGTGATACTGCCTACAATTCGTGACAAGGAAACCGTATGACTTGAGCGCTTGAGAAAATTTTGGAAAAATATGGGGAGCAAATGTCAATTTTAAAACATTTTTTTTTGATTGTATCACATCTATCTAACAAGGCACCATCAATGTCATAGTTGAAAATATGAAAGGCTTTTTCATACTATAACAACCTTGCACTTGTTGGAATTCAGATATAAATTGTTGACATCGCACCTAGTTTGAATACTACTCAAGTGTCGCTGAAAATCCAAACAATCATGAATATCCGTTATAGACGATTTTACATATTTTCAAAACATAATTGCGTACATTTTAAAGTTCACTAATAAACAACAGAAATAAAGAGGTACACTTCGAATCTGAAATAGCTCAGGTTTGACAATGTCAATGTAGGACATTCATTTTTCAAAAATTAAAAATTCATTTATCAGCGCAAAAATCCAATATGCCGTTCATAAGGAAAAAAAGTTGATGATTGGAGACAAAAGACGAAACGTGATATTCAAATCCTAATTACACTGTCTTGTACAGGAAAGAAAGTGGCAATATTGATATACTTTTTATTTTAAAATCCCATCTCAAACAAAGCTAGGAAAAAATAGAAACGATTTTGGAAAAATTCGGTTTTTTTTCGTTTATCTTCGAAAATAATCGGAGTTTCAGAACTCTCTATGCCCACTTTTTTAGTTACCTTTGCTCACTTTCAACCGACTCTCAGATACCAATGGTGAGAGTCAAATTTGAGACACCTGGTATATTTTATAGAACACGTCGCTATATAGAAATCTAATTCATTTTTTTTATTTTCCAAGCTCCTACAGCCAGTTTCTGGCTGGTTCGTCTGTAGTTTAACCAGACACTTTATTAATACCCTGTGTATCTTAGGCATCTTACGTAACCAACCTAATCAGGGTTGTTGTATTCGACCTTACAACTGCTACTAAAATGTACTATAATTATCCGACTAATGTCGCGAGGAATATTTTCAAGCACGCAGAGGCACATAGATACATCAGGGTCCTTACATGACCAGCCAATCCTTGATGACCATTGATTAGATATAGAAAAAGTGGCGTTAAAAATAGATTAAAGACGGCATAATGTTTTTCTTAACCTTGCCTGCCATATAATAATTGTAACGACGACATTGACCATGAGCTATGGCGGTATGTTATAATAATATGCAAACAAATTCTCATAAGTAGTCTTTGTAATTTATTGTTACTGCACCGTGCAAATTTTACAGAGTCGAGAAAAATATTTCACACAAAGGTGGTTTTTTTGAGAAGTGAGATTTTAAAACCAAGAACTCGTTATAGACGATGCGAAAAACTGTAAGAAAATTTCCAATTTGAACTTTTTACAGAATTTCGTTTGTCGGATGTCCATTCACATGAATCAAGAACTTGCCTGGCGATAACTTGTTTAAAATTTTCTTCAACACATTTTTAAACAGGTTACTGAAATTACTTTTTTCCTCAATCATTTTGTACAAAAGGTTCTTTGAAATAAACTGTTTTTGAGACCATTACTTGCAAGCTCTTGCAGCTTCTTGAAGACAATTGCATCCAATCACTTTCAGTTGCAAGACCGCCCTGTACCTCGATTCCTACGAGCAAAAGTTAGCGGACCTGACATACTCCTAGCCTATTATTTTGGTTTTGGTTTCCTACTCTTCAGAACATATGGTCTTAATAACCAAAAACTAGTTTCAATGACCAACCATCCAAAATTTTGATGTTTGGTTTTGACACAAACTTATATCTGTAAACACATTAAATATAACCACACACAACAGCCGACACGCCTAAGTATATTTCATCGGTATCTGCGCATACAGGCGTAAATGATAAAAAAATCTAAACTCGACTTACGCCGTAATTTTACAATTTTTTTTGTAGTCTCTCACTTTACGAAGTGACGTAACTGTATACAGGGTTATCCAAATTAAGTGTCCACCATTAGTAACTTTGTTATTAGTGAAAAATACAAAGTTGTTTGAATTAGCAAACTAGTAGCATTTTTAACGCTGGTAAAAATGAGAAATAAAAAAAACAATTGAGAGTCGTTATTTTGATTTTTTTCAGTAAAATAACATTTTTTTAAATGGAAACCCCTGTATATTATATTTTTTTCTGTTAAAGCATCAAATTTTAAACAAAAAAGCTTACAATAACTTTTCTCCTAGGTTACAAATTGTTGAAGTTATGGCCTCCAATCTGAAACAATTAAATTGTATCGACAAACTTTATTTTCAACATCAACTTATAATCTTACAAAATACAATAACAATTTTTTTAAAGAAGATGCTCGAAAACACCACCTTGTTCTTCAATACATTTTTGGGCACGTTTTTCAACTGCTCGAACTGTCTTAAGTATGGTCCTACCATCTATCTGGGTTATCTTTTCCCTAACTGCAGTCTTTAACGCGTCAAGGTTATCGTACCTTCGCTTGTAAATTTGGTTCTTTAAGTAACCCCACAAAAAGTAATCAAGTGGGTTTAGATCTGGTGATCTGGGAGGCCACTGTATTGGGCCATTTGTTCCTATCCACTGATCATTAAAAGTAGTACTTAGAAAATGATAAGTACCTCTGGAGTTGTGGGCAGGTGCGCCATCTTGCTGAAAATGCAGATGATGTCTACTTATAAGATCCAATTCGTCTAAGAAATTAGTCAGAATTTCTGACATAAATTCCACATATCTTTCACCAGTTAGGGTTCCCTCATAAAAGAACGGGCCAACAATTTTGAACCAATTATACCGCACCAAACGTTGAAACTGAAACGAACTTGTGGGCCTCTTGGATGTACTAACAAAAGATTTTCTCTTGACCAATAATGGTGGTTTTTTCTATTAAACATTCCAGAATTTGAAAAATTTGATTCATCTGTCCATAAAAGGTAACGAAAGTTATTTACATTTTGGCGACAGAAGCTAAGATACCAATGGCAAAAAACAAGTCTTCTCTCTGGATCCCCTGCCAAAAGCGTTTGAACTGGTCGGTACTTATACGGAATAAATTTGTATTTTTTTAAAATCCTTTGAACAGTACCATAACTGAAATTAGAGTCCTTGAGAATATCTGCTATTGAATTCTCACGATAAGCTTCAAAATATCCAATAACTGCAATTTCCGTGGCCTCGCTTATTATGAACTCTTTTTTGCCCTTGTTTTAGCAAAAACATTTTCGTTGCCCCTAAATTTTCGATAAAGTCTCAGAAAATATCGTTCATACGGTTGAATGCGAGCGGGATATAATTCACTGTAGTATTCTCTTGCTCTCAAGGAGGATTTTCTGCACACTAAATAGCATTCTAACATATACACACACTTTTCTTCATGGGAGAACATTTTTTTAAATTAATGACACAATAAGCTTATAAACAAGTATTTACACTAATGTTTGACATTATTTGATTTTATCATTGTTTTCCAAAGCCTTCTAGTTACGAGTATGTCCAGTTTAACAATTTGTCGCTTATCTTAATGCTGTCAAATCGCGAACGCCATGTTGTTTTCATAGCCGTCTTAATATTATAATCTGCAAATAATTAAAAATATTTATCGTTATTTTGACTTTGTTTTTGACTTTAGCGGAAAAGTCATTATGAACTTTTTTGTTTAAAATTTGATGCTTTAACAGAAAAAAATATAATATACAGGGGTTTCCATTTAAAAAAATGTTATTTTACTGAAAAAAATCAAAATAACGACTCTCAATTGTTTTTTTTTATTTCTCATTTTTACCAGCGTTAAAAATGCTACTAGTTTGCTAATTCAAACAACTTTGTATTTTCACTAATAACAAAGTTACTAATGGTGGACACTTAATTTGGATAACCCTGTATATCCTTTAATTTCTTTGGGTACAAGGCAAAGTATTGCAAAAGTACACTCTTATAACTTAAACTCTCAAGCTTTCGAAGATCTATGTCTTCAGTCTTCATCGACTGGAGTAAGTCGGCGAGATTGTTGCTGAAATTTGTTTTAAAACAGCAGTGAAGGGAACACAGTCGACGAATAAAAACTGGACTGATGAGGTTCGATTAAGACAGGAATTATTTTGTTATTAAATGGCAAATCATTTTGAAAGCTTTTTTTTTTATTTTTTTTTTAAACTAAGCGTTGATTGAATTTGGAAGAAATTTGGAGATTTTAAAACTATCAACTATTGAAAATACGCTCGATATCTTCCACATTATCCAACACGTGCCGGCCGACTCCGGCGAATTTTCAATAGTTAATAGTTTTAAAATCTCCAAATTTCTTCCAAATCAATCAACGCTTAATTTAAAAAAAAAAAAAAAACCTTTCAAAATGATTTGCCATTTAATAACAAAATAATTCCGTCCCAATCGAAGCTCATCAGT